AGAGCCCGTTGTTCCAAGACTGAGCATACATAACTATTTACTTCTGTCCCATTTAGCCCATGCAAACCTGTTTCATTGTTCCCCTCTCTACCTTGTTCTTCACTCCCCTCCCCCTCAAGCTCAAATTTTTGTATAATGTATATACATCTAACTGCCACCCAATAATGGCTACTACCAGCACCCCAGGAATCCTTCTTGTGCCCCACTTCTAACCACTGTTTCCCTTCATCCCCAATAATGACTGCTATTCAGACTTAGAATACTATAATTTTATTTTATTATTGTAGCCTTTTCTAATGCTATAATATGGTAATATTTTCTAATAAAGTAGAAATTTAGAAGCAGATCATTTTACCATTCACTTACTAGACTCCTAAAGATTATTGTTGTTATGTACCGTGGAGTTAGTTCTGATTCATAGTGACCCTGGATAGTGTTTCTGAGAGACACTGGTGCATTTGAAATGCTGACCTTGAGTTAGCACCAGTGCTTACCCTACAGTGCAACTTTTGGGTTCAAGGATTATCAGTGCTGCCATTTATATTTATGTTCTCTGACCTCAGGTCCTTAGTGTGGTTAGTCTGAACTTATTGTAAGAGTAATCGATGCCTATCCAGAGAATGGAATCCTGGTGTAGCGCTGTAGGACAATGCACTGGACCACAAGGTCGGCGATTCAAACTGCACTAACCACTCCTTGGAAACCCTGTAAAGGGTCACTATGAATCGGAACCAACTCGACAGCACATAACAACAACAGCTTTCAGAAATCATAAGTTCACAGCTATTAACTGAAAGGTTGGAAGTTCAAATCCACCCAGAAGTGCCTTGGAAGCATGGTCTGGCCATATACTTCCAAAAGGTCACAGCCATTGCAAATTCTGGAACGCAGTTCTGCTCTGAAACATAATAGGGTTGCTTTGAGTCAGAATCAACTTGATGGCAATTGGTTTGTTGGATTCAGAATACTGGTCCAGATTGTTACTGTCTTTGACAATTTCCAGACTTTCTTGAGGTATCTGTCCAGAGGCAAGGCCAATGTATAATGTGTTTCAGTGCAGTTCCATAATTTTATTTTAAAAGAGAAAGACTAAAAATCCACTGTGTACTTGCATTGAGGAGAATGGAAAGATTTATTAGGCATGGAGCCAACTCTCAGTGAATAAAGAGTGGAAAAGGAATGTTGATGGCATTATCCACCAGTCTTCAGATTTCTGCCTATCAAGACTGTTGTTTTACAAAAAAATTTGACTTGTTTTTTGCTTTCTTGGTATTGTCATGTCTTCCAAAAGTTATTAAATTCTCTCTTTGTTTCAACAGTCAATGATAGTAATCATGAGGGTGACGGTCACCAAAAGGAACCAGCAGAAAATGACAATCATAGAGAAAAGTCTGCAGAATATGATGAAATTGATTGTTCCCTGGTCTCTGAACAATCTCCAGATTGCCACAAAGAAGAAAGACTAAATGCATCCATTCCACATGAAAGGAAATTGAGAAATCTTTTAGTTACTATTGAGAATGATGCTCCACTTGAGGAACTTTCAAAATATGTGGATATCAATGTTATTGCACTTACTCGAAATCGGAGAACAAGGAGATGGTATACTTGTCCACTATGTGGGAAACAGTTTAATGAGAGTTCTTACCTTATTTCCCACCAGAGGACTCACACCGGAGAAAAACCCTATGACTGCAGTCATTGTGGGAAAAGCTTCAACCATAAAACAAACCTAAATAAACATGAACGAATCCATACAGGAGAGAAACCTTATTCCTGTTCTCAGTGTGGGAAAAACTTCCGTCAGAATTCTCATCGGAGCCGTCACGAAGGAATCCACATAAGGGAGAAGATATTTAAGTGTCCAGAATGTGGGAAAACCTTCTCAGGGAATGAAGAATTTGTGCTTCATCTGCAGAGTCACGAGGCTGAGAGGCCATATTGTTGCAAAAAATGTGGGAGAAGATTTGGCCGGCTGTCAAACTGTACCCGGCATGAGAAAACCCACTCATCATGTAAGAGCCGGAAACAGAAGTGGGATTGAGAATGGTGTAATGGTTCTGCTTCTGCCTAAAATATTCCATGTAGGAATTCTGGATTCCCAGACTGTCTTGAAGATACAGGTATGTGAAAACCTCAACATAGCCAAAATTGGATAAATACCCATCTTGGCTGAAACCTCAAACTATTAGAAATATCACAGGGAAGAAGATATCCTCAAGGGCTATACCTCAATTAGTATCCAGGCTTTTTGACTTAAGGAACTTTCTTTTGTGAACAGTGTATAAATCCATTTTCTAAGTATATTTTGACCAGAGTCTGGAGGCTGCTTAGCTGCAAGGTGAACAGAGTAACTCCTCCCTACTGGAAACATACCCATGGGGATCTACTACACTTGAGAAGAGTAGAAATAATGTAAAGATCATCCTTATCTGGCACCACATTCCCCTGAAGACGCCAAACTGCTGATGTGTTAATCCAATAACAATTTATCCCCGTCTGAGAACAACCTGTTAAAGCTTGGGTGTTGCAAGCGATTGTCTACTTTGGATTATAGTAAAACTACAGCATCTGAATGTCAAAGACTTATTCCATCATTTCTCATCCCAAACTAGTAGTCAATTTAATAACATTTTCATTTTGTGAGGACAATGGACTATTTTACTGAATCCTTTGAAGAATATAATTTTAAAGTGTCTAGTGTTCTCACTGTGCTTTGTTTGGCTAGTCATCTCTCAAACAGCTCTCCTTGAACTCTGAGCAACGTCTCTCCCATGCTGAAAGAAGTTTGTTCACTCAGGTCTAGCCCCACAGCCCCACTGCCCCACTACTGGAAAAGCTCTTCACAGTTTTATCCCTCTGCTGACCCAGTATCTTACATGCTCAAAAGAGACTCCAGGAACATGAAGAGGAAGGACGGACCTTCCTTGAAACAAGAAGTTGACTTGAATTCATCGATAGTCAGTAGCTCAATTATACTCAATCACCTCTCTCCACAGTTACCCCACCTTTGGCTATGGGCTGGTCACTACCTCACAAGGCAGTGTGTTTTAGTTTTACATCTAGAGATTAGCTGACATCACTCCTCATAAGACAAGATTCCAGGTGTCTTCAGCATAGTGCATATTTGTTATGATCGCTGGTGTCCTGATAGCCAGGCTCTCCCATGAGTTACCTACCCAGAGATAGGAAAGCTGTGTCTTCACAGTTGTGATTTGAGGCATTCTTGATTAGTTATGTTTGCTTGCATATTTGTTTCAAGTTTCCCAAAGTTTTACATTGGAATTTGATTGGAATTGGGTTAATTTTATACGTCATTTGAAAAAAATAGCTTTACAAATTGTGTTCCCTATCCAGAAACTTGCTTCTCTATTTATCAGAGCCTTATATCCCTGAGTAAACTTTTCTCCTTTTCTTCTTCTAAGTCCTGTACAGCTGTGTTA